CTCTAAGCGGCCTGGAAATAATTTTTGTTTTGTTTTTGTTTTATTCCACAAAGGAACGTACCCCGTTACCCTGGGGAGGGTTACATCAAAAGGTTTCAATAATACAATTAAAGTTCAAATATAGGAGTTAGCTAAGAGCTTTTTCATTTTAACTTAGCCTACACACGCCACGTTTTAACTTAGCCTACAAAAAATGAACTTAGCTAAACAATGCATACAAGTTCTATCCTTAGATTTCATGAGAAAAATAAATTTGTCTTTTTTTAGATAAAATAGTGAACTCTGCATTACTTTTACAAACAGTATCATACATGTTTTTTTCTCAAAGAATTACACATGGGACAGGAACATAAACAATGCTTTTCCGTTTCTACCTCTCCCAGACAGTGTGGACAATTACGTTGGTTAAATTCTAAACCAGTATATCTTCCAATTTCTACAAGCAGTTTATGAGCTGAGCATCTAAATCTAGCCAAATAATGTCTGAATTGAGGATTATTTAAAACATAAAAGTTGTATTTCAATTTTATTTTCATGCTCTATTTTAAACGTAGGTTCTCAGTACACTCCCTTTAGTATCGTTATTTACCCTATACCAAACCAGCTACAAATAAACTCATTACATAACTCTTCTACAAATTTATCACCAAGAACACGCTGATTATGTCCAGACAAACTCAAAGGAGCATTCCATTTAACCAAGTCAAAGGTGTTTTTTTTTTAACTTAATGACCTCCTCCTAATTCCTAACTCCATGTCTTTTGTAAAGGCATTATACAATATAGAATGAGTTGGTTTTTAGACAACTTAAGCCAGTATTTTATTTCGGCATTGTTTTATGTATGGAGGAAAGCGTCCCAGTTCACCCAAAACAGCGTCATTTGTAGTAACTAGTTACATTCAAAATAAATTTATACCAGTTCATTTGAAAAACGTTGGATTGATTATCACCTTTCTTCCACGTGATTTCAGAGCCATAGCTTAAAACGGGTGTTGATAAGGTATCAACAATTTTAAAAAAATATTTAATTGCCAATTTCTTTTCTAATTGAATAGGCTGCTTTGTTAGCTTTATTTGCAAGATTTTTAGTTGCTATAAACTGTAATGAACCTGAGGTTTGAAAAATAATCCCTTAATACAAATGAGTCAAAAATATCAATGGAGTCTCCATTAAATTATTAACCATGTCTTTTGCTTTAGATAAATCGATGTTGAAAATAATAATGACTTTTGTTTTGTGAATATTTACAATCAGTCTCCACTTATTACAAAATGACTCAAATCTCTCAATCAGCAATTGAAATACTTCTTAAATTTGAAAATATGGTGAAGAGCTTCCTTTTCAATAATACACAGAGTTCAGGATTTTTTCATAATATCTGAGGGCGCTGTTGACGTTATGCCACTCTTTCTGCACAAATTATGAACCAAGAATGAAGCCCATTGAATTTTTTGTGCTTAAAACACACACACACACACAAAGACAATTGAACACAGCGAAGCGCCAATATAATTCTGTTCACTTTTGATGCTGAAGCAGCCAAAACAGCCTGCCTTAAATGGAATCACTCGTTTTTTTCCCCTCATGAACATGGAAATGCATTACTCTATCATTTCCAAAGAGTGAAAAATTCACTTCTATTTAAGACAAACTTCTCTCCCATCGACTGAAAGTAGGGACCGCACCTTTAAGAGTCAAATTCATTCAGTCGAGAAGTTTGCGTTTTCACTCGAGTTTTTCCACACATTTTGTAAACCGATTGCATTATCCCGTTCAGTCCTTAGTTATATCTCTCTCATCTCTCTGATACAGCGCTGCACATTTTATGATGAAAACCATCAAGGTATGAACAAGTCATTGTTAGCATGTCACCACGGAGAAGGTCATTCAAAATTTACGCATTAAAGCAATCAGTGATCACGTCTCGTAAATCACGATATAATTATAAAATGATGAGGCTGAACTGAAGGCGACACATAATCGATTGTACAGGCCGAGAACTGAAGGCGACATATAATCGATTGTACAGGCTGAGTCAAACAGAAAGTGACCGACTTAGACAACAAAATAAAAATATGTGTGTGACTCGTGGATGTTTTGAGGTCAAATAAAGTTGGGAAGAGAACAGGCTCCAACTCTTAAGGCCAAAAAAAAAGTCTCCGGTTTCTGGTATGCGCGCGCGTCGCCGTAGCCATGCGCGTCGGCAAAATGACAAAGTTTTTTTTCAATGAAAGATGATGTCTGAAAACCGCCAAACTCACTGGTTTGACTGGAATCCTGCTGCTGCACAATTTTAACGTGTTTTTAGATTGGGTTATGGTCGAGAATAAGCTGTGTAAGTATGTGGCCTCTCTGGACTCCCATATAATTTGCACTTAGTTTAGTCGGGCACCATTTGCAGTCATCAGCAGACATTTGAAGCAAAACAATCAGGTAAAAAAAAAAAAAAAAGCCGCGTCGCCGCACCACTTTTTGGGCAAGCTCCATACCAGAAACTGGAGACTTTTTTTTGGCCTAAGGGTAGTGAGTTTTTTTCTGCAAGAATGAAGAAAATGTTGGAGAGAGAATGAACACAACAGCTCTCCTCTCCGGATATGCACAGAATGACTTGAATATGTTCCCGCCACCAACGGCGTGGGTGGATTGGCATTTGGTGAATTTAAATAAGAATGCGTTTGGGTGCTAATGAATAATAAAATACAGGCTGGTAAATAAACAAGTAAACCAAACTTTACCGTGACATGTGTCTCGCTCCATTTAATAAATTAACATGGAAACAAAGTAGGCATACATGGTATTGACCAGTAATTGTGAAAGTTGTATGTAGTTTGCATAATATACAAGTTATTTCGATTTGAAATAAACATAGGGTTTTCCCTGCTATTTTAAAACGTTTATCATTCGAATTCACCGTTCCTATTATTCAAATTCGTCCATCAACTTCGATTTAGTGCACATCCAATGTTCAATTTCGTCTGTTGTCAGACAATTTCAGATTCAGTTTTAAAAGCAAATTCAAACAACGAGCGCACGTTTTCGTCCCGGAGTTTTCGATTTCGTCTCGTCCACGCCAAACTCGCTAATCAGTTATCGTCCAATTGATTTATATAAGGCGAATTCGATATCCGAATTCTGCCATTTGGCAACAGCCTAGACGAATTTGATTTATAATGACGAATATTCTCGACCCGGTGACTAAAGAGGGTGACCAAACTTTAAAATTTAATGGTAAATGACTAAACTGATTTTGTTTAAGCGTATGAAATTTTTCTCGGACAAAATTGAATGTTTTAGAGTTGGTGAATTTGAATGAAAAATCTTAAAAAATAGCCGGGAAAGCATATACTTCTAATCCTACTTTCAGTAATTTGAAAATATGTAGTGAGCCTCGATTAAAAGTTTTTGTCTTTCTATATCTTCATTTTTGTAATCCAGACAAAAGTGCGCAATTTTATGTCAAACAAAAATGAGATAACATTCCAAGTGCTCTCAAAATTGCTGGGGATTTAAAATTGCTCTCCTGGGCTCATATCTTACATGAATTTTATCAAAGATTTTCAACTTGTTTGTTTTTAATGTGAAGTAATACATTATTTTTGTTGAGTCAACGGTGAATTTAATCCTAAAGGAAAAGGTTACCATACAACAATGATTTTTTTTCTGGTCGCAATTTGACCCCATAGCACGGGGAGAGCAACTGTATGTAAAATTTCATTTAATTTTGAAATGACTTCTCAGTGGATGTGGTCACATTAATTATTGCAGCACTGGTAAAGTTTTAGTGCTGGTCCCAGAGGGCTGACCTACAGTCCTCTTTGTACTAGACTTGGCCCAAGTCTGGGTTTCGCTGGTCTGTCACAGTAAACGCACACATAGTGCACATAAAACGTACGTCCGTACACACTACATGCTCAAACAGGCTAACGACGATTATGGTTGCAGACCAGTAAATAAACTTCCATAGACCCCAATGGTAAATGCTCCCACTTCAGAAATTTGGGAAAAATACTCACAACTCTCCAAGGTGTTCGAGACACACATCAAATTAAAGCTTATTACATCATCTTTCATTTTCTTTTCAATTTCTGGGGGGTCAACTGGTGACTTTTAGGAGAAATTTCCATCCGAAGATGATCACCCCTGAAAATACTCCTGAAGCCCATCGCCATTTTGAAAAACGATGCCTATACTCCATTGCAAAATAGAGCGCTTTAAGGGCCCCAATTTCATCCAAATTGAACGGAACTACTTCCATCCATATTTTTTACAAACCCTCAAGTTGATGGCCTACAGCATGCTCAAATACTGAAGATTAATCGTGATTTGGCCGGCGTAGGCAATTTCGGACCGATTTACTGGGCTGCAACATTATGAGCTGTGTGTGACGTGCGCCCTCATGCGTTAGTTCAAGACCAACATGTTAAAAACCATTGATCACAGTCTAGTCGCATTGATAACATAGGTTTTCCCGGCCAATTTCCTAAAATGTTCATTCACTTCTGAAAATCGGTCATTCGTTTCGTCTGAATTTGAGAATCTCTCTGATCACGCGTTTCATTTTCGCTACCAGAGCATTCGATTCCATTTCAGTTCAATCAATATCATAAGTGATTGAGCAGCACCTTTCGTTTATGCTCATTTAGATTCGTTTACAAGAAGTTGTTCACTTTTAGAGGGCGATTTCAAACATTCACCATTCTATTTCACTTTTTGTTTAATGCCATCGGCACCAGATACAATTAAGGCTTTCTTTTTCATTTACCGTCAATCAAATTAGCTGTACCTGAAATCAATTTCGAAAAGGTATGCTTGCGTATTAAAATAAATGCACGTAAATTGGCCGTCTGTTTCTCAAAACCGAATGCACGGACAATGAAAACGATTGAACTTTCGTTGAATTGAAATTGGATTCAAATTCAGACGAAACTGAATGATCTATTTTCAGAAGTGATTGAACATTTCAGGAAATTGACCGCGAAATCCTTTACAAAACTTTTCTCAGAAAGTGACGTGTGTATTTTCATAGCACCCCAACACTTCAAAGCGCATACTGCAGTGGTAGTTCCAGTCGGTTGGCTGAATGCGCAGAAACCTAGTGCGCAAGACCGTTCCAAATCGAGCTGTCACCTGATCGTCGTGGCCTTCGTTGACGTTACCAGGGAACTGTGAAAAAACAAAAAGAGTTTTCAATTGAACAACAACTCCAATTTTGCATAAAATTGCCGAGATGAGTAGAGAAACGGAGTACAAAAGCGTTTAAAATGCGCTGTTTTGATGTAAGTTCGAGTACATCTATATCCTGAAAAGCGCCCCTTAGTGTAATGTGGTGTCCAGCCCCCCCCCCCCCCCCCCGCTTGTTTTTTAATTCCAAAGTTACGATGACCTTGGCAAAAAAATTATACCTCCTCGGACTTGAAATCAGCGCCAGTCACGTGATCCCAGGACCGACCGTCACGGCTGTGTGTCACTCTGTAACGCGTGACTCGCTGGTGATGTCCGTTATTACTGTCACCACCTCGGGCTTGGGTGACCAGTCCTGTGACGTAGACCTCGGAGTCGAACTTGACCTGAATCCAGGGATGATCCGGGTCAGTTTGTTCGTCGTTGCACCACGCAGATGCATACCCTGTTCAACAATAATATGCAATGAAATGTCATCTGCTGTGTATGTTGGTTTTGGCTGGTTAATTCACCTAAAAACGAATGCCTTTTCCCCATTAAGATTGTACATTTGGAAGCATTCGAAACGAAGGGACCATTAAAATTTGATGCGAGGGCCCAAATGCTACTAGGCAAAACAAGAATGACGATACATGCATTGTTAGGCTACTTCATTTGGCATGCAGTGGGCGTATTCGAAACCCCGTGTTGAATGAACACGAGAATATGACCGATCGATCGATTACTAAAAGACCGCTTATATATATCGATGAATAGGTTTCCCCGGCCAATTTCGTAAAAAAAAGCATTCGAACTGTGGCCAATTTGAAGCGAAGTAGCGCCCTGTCGTCATTCCCGTGGTTCGTATTAGATTTCAGAGGTTAAAATTCGTTTTAAGACCTGACATTTTCATGTTTAACATATCCTAAATTGAAGTTATGTCATTCGGTTTAAGTGATCATTCAATTTAGCAGTCGGTTTGGTTTAGGGTTATTTGCATAAGATTCTTGTTTTCGTTTTCATTTCCGCGCATTCGATTTAGCACTTTTTGCATTCAAAATAAAAGTCAACGAAGGTATACGATGCGAGTCTTTTAATTTCTTTCACCTTTTGATTATTTCTGCTTCATGTCGTGGTCCATTTTTGTGTTTCTGGACCCTCCTCTTGGCAGGTTTTCCCGTCTCAGACCTACGCGGCTACAATTGACCTGCAGCAGCAGATCTGTTTGTGCCAAGATTGTCTGCAAGTTCAAGATAGTCTTGAGCATTGCCATCGAAAGCTTCGATCAAATGACCACGGCCTACATTTGAAATTCTCATGCAACGCCCATGAGCTGGAATATTAATATTTCTAGTGCCTCAATCTAACAGTTTGCATTGCGATCAGAGTGGCAGAGTCTTGTGGGAGGTTTTTATATCTATATTTCCAAATTGTAACAAAAACACTCCATCTTATTCTAACAAACAACGGAACGACATGGACCTACTTCGAATTACTGTGCTTAGTTTCCACGTATGCTTGCTTAATGGTGAATTCGAATGACCAAACTTACACAGCTTGAAGCTCCGGCGAATTTGGATGCTCGTTTGTGCAATTTTAATTTGAATGCCCTATTTTTGAAATTGCATGATTAAAATGTGAAATCGCATGCTTCTAATGTGAAAGTGATTGGTGTTTTTAGGTAATTGAATGTTGATTTCAACGTGCATTCAAATTCGTGCGAAAATGGGTGATTGGTCGCCAGTTTGGCCGCCAAATCTGCTAACTTGGCCGGGAAAACCTATAATAGACCATACATGCTGGAATTCGTATCCTTCTGAAGTCATTTCTTTGTTCTCGTGTACTAAAATTTAAGAGTTTGAAAATGTAGTTTCAAAATGCTTCTATTGTAACCAGAATTAATTTCCAGGGCCGACATTCGGACCTAATATCCCTTACATAAAATATTTCAATTTGCCACTGATCAACACACCTCGGAAATTCCTAGTTTTTGAGAAAATCCATACATCTATTTCGTGATAACCTATAGAAATTGACATGTGGAGACGTAAACAATCTTTTATTTCCTATTACGCATATGTCTCCACAGGGTACCGTGTACCAGATCGATCGATCGATGTAAAAGACCGATTGATGTGTTGATCGGAGTTTATGCCTCTTTGGCGTTCCATACTAGAACGGTGTTTCGAATGATCAGAACCTACACGCGAACCGTTCGCGAACCGTATTTTCACTAATATTGATGAGAACATAGTAGTGAGGAACGTGAAGAACAAACGTGGTTGACTAACCGCAACTTGTGTTATTTTTTGTGCGCACAAATTAAAAACAATTTCATTCAGTGCAAAAGCAGTAAATATATATATTTAAAAATTGTAAGTGAGCATAGAGTGGGCTTGTCTTTGCCAATTTTTGTAGCTGTTCCGGGATTTAAAGTATTTTCATAAGATACTTTTATTTGATCTTACAAGTAGTAGTACATTAGTTTTGACACAGGGAATTCAATAGTATACCCTGGGTATTGAGGCGCGATCTGGTAGGTCCATGGTTCGCCATATTTCGATAATAAGACGACGCTGTGATGTGGTCATCTGCGATGCGCCCGTCCTCCATGCCGAGAGGCCCCTCCTCAGAGCAAGCTACAAAGCGAAGGAAGCAGAAGATGACATGGTCTGATGATGAAAGTAGCGGTGATACAAATTTGCCGCATTAAACAGTATTGTTTGTTTAAAATGCAATTGATCTTTATAATGAAATTGACAAGTTGAAGGGCTTGATGCCGGAGTGAGTTTTGCCCATGCAGATTTTATTTTTAAGTGTACAACAGGTGCACTTTTGACCCTCCGATCTGTAATCCAATTTGAAGCAAAACCAGGCAAAGGAAAATGCTTTCTTTGTAAAAAGTGGTTTACCACAAAATAAAAAATTATGAGAATATCTTGTGCTCCGCACTGTCCAAGCGCCATAAATGCTATAGAGAAAGGCCTTTACGAGGATAAAAAGAGGTGTATTCTTATTCCAAAAGGAAATACGGTCCTTACGGTCCTTTCCATGTTTCCCTTTTCCTGAAAAGATGGTGAACCTTTGAAAGGAGGGGACGTGCATACTTCTGAGGAAAACAGTGAGAGGGTAAATCAATGTTTGCTACGGTCTTTTTTGTCAACAATCCATCCATTTGCTTTTGATATATAAAGGGTCTGTGCATCTCGACATTCATTATGTTACTAATATTGTACCGTAAACACTGCAATTGAGTCGCATCCTAATCTCAGGCAGCTGAAGTGGTGCATCGAAGTACGACACACGAAACGGTCGTTGGGGACGAATCACGTTGACTCCGCCCAGTTCAACAGAGGTGCACTGGCAGGGATCTTTGAAGGGTGCCGCCCCTCGCAGACGATTTGTCGCTGGATCCCACTCTTGGCCAATGAAACAAGGGCACGCAGCGGCAGTCCAAAACATGAAACCTCATCGGACGGATAAAAGAACCACATAAGTAATAGACCACTATTCGCACATGCGCAACAAGCAAGCACTAGAGCAAGAACCGCAAGCAGTGAATGGGATTCGCTCGTATCCCCGGCGCCCTATAGGCCCTGCAAACAGGGCGCTGGGACGGGCTGATGAGCTTCTCAGAATCTTGTAAAGGAAGTGGTGGTGGCATTCTTAGCCAATGCGCGCAAATGCTATCCCAATGTGGACAAATTTTGAGCGTCGCTTAATATGCAATTTGACCCTCCGTGAATTCGAAACGGAGACTGAGCAAGTGACGGGAATTGAAAATCTACAAAACAGATTTACAGATTTTACAGATTTACCTACATTATTACACTTTTCAACGAAAAGAAAAACGCTGGTGAAAAAAAGGGCATTTGAATGGAAAAGGGCAGTCGTTACAAAATATTGGGGCGGGAGGGGGTGTAAATACCCCCTTACCCCCTTTACCCCCCCCCCCCTCCGCTGGCTACGCCTATGCTAATGAACACAATCCACCATGCTAATTATAACATCGTTGATATCAAACTCCACCAGGTTATTGTACTTGCATGTAATTAGGAAGATTGTCATATCATGACGGATCAATGCATATTTCCATGGCAATGAATGAAATTGGATTGGTGACTGTTTTTAATGGTAAACAAGGTGCATTGAGTTGGAAGTCATCCACATCATATACTTTTGTTTAAGGCAAGATAGCATGGTCCGGGTTCAGTGCCCGCATGGGTGTTTCCATAATATTCTTCTCCGGTTTTTATCCCACCTCTAAAACTGTCATTTTCGTCATTGTCTCCTCTCTACAAATTTCGACAAAGGTTCATCTTATAGGCTGAATTTCTAAGCGTAGCCAGGAACTACTACATATTTCATACTTATCAAACATTAGAAAGCTGAAATAATTAGTTTTTATTCCTTCTGTCATTTTAAGGAAGAAATTAAATTCTGGTCGTAAAAAACAAATAAAAAAAAGAAAGGCAATTCATGTTGTCGCGTTGTAAAATTTAGAGGACTATGGAAACCGAAACAAACATAGATAATTGGCCAAACAGATAAATGACAGTTTACTTTTATGTAATGAACTCTTCCCATTATTGGAGCTGATGTGGCTGGAATAAAGATTTCTTTACATGAGCCTCACTGCCATTATTTGCAGTCAGTTGTACTTCCATGTGATTATCGTCGTTCGGTCAGGGTGACCATAAGGTCATGGCCAAATTCTGCTAAATGCAATTCAAAAATATGTCAGATCCATCAAAAATCTGCCAAATTTCCCAGAATTACTCGAAATACACTACAAACACTTAAAATCACATGCAGATGTTGTACTATTTGCCTTAATTAAGTTTCAAATTACATTATAAACAATCTCAAATCTCATAAAGACGTTAGGAAATTGCGTAAATTTCAGGCAAAATGCGGTTGTGTCACGATCAAGTCCGGTTCCCACTGTGAACATCAGCACCTAGACCAGCTAACCGTCCCATTATGCAAGGGTTGTTTGAAAAGGCTGAAGATTGAAAAGGCTGAAGACAAATGTACCTGTTTCTATTAAATTTGCTATGTTTTTCTGTCAAATATCCATTTTTTTGCAGAATTCTGCCAGAAATCTGCCAAAAAATCCAAACTGGTTTTTGTTAAACAAAAATCTGTCAAAGTTAGCCGAAAATCGGCTAAAACGGTCACCCTGCATTCGGTGTAATTGATACATTGTCATAACAACAATAGCGGCAGACTAGACAAGCCACCTTTGGTTTCATAATATATTGGGTCGTTTGTATAAAAACTAGCATTTGCTTTTACTACCTACTATTACGCATTCACTTGCATTTGTATGAATACAGATGAAGCAAGTTATGATGCACGTTTAACTAACAGAACCCAGTTTTACTAACAGAAAGCAGGAGGTCGTGGGTTCGAGTCCCACCCGAGTGATTTTTCCAACTTTCACTCGGGAGGTAACACACTGAGTATACAGTGGTTATAAGTCGGTGAAGGGCAAAACCTAATTTGATTTACATCACCCCGACGCAAAATTCCATCTTATTAAGAACCCAGTTTTATAGCTGTCCATGGAATGCCATTGGAAGCTATGGAGCTGAGTGAGAATTACAGACTACATACAAGCATTCAAATACAAACGAGATTTTAATTATTGAAATCAAGACTGAAACATTATTTTTATTGTCAGATTTTTTGTTTTGAATATGAACAAATCACCTATGCTTTCTGAAATATATTGATGGCGATATTTTGTATGGTTTCCTTTGAAAGTTCTCGTTCATTCATCGACGTGGGAAAACGTCCGTGTTTCATTGTACTCCATGGGTATTCATCAGTTCGTAGAACGGTAAATGATCAGTAGTGGAGAGCCAAGTTTTGTGATCTTTGCATTGAAACAGACATAACTTGGGAATAGAGTATGCAAATTACGTAAAATGTTCACAGTTACAAGTCAATAAGATGTACTTTTTCCTTATGAATTTTTAATGAAATAGAGCGAGCCAAATATTTCAAAATAGTTTGTTTTCAAATTCGGTCACTTTTTTTTGGACTCACCCTGTACGGCTGTTTTAAGTTGGTTCCAATTTTCATGACACGTGTTAAAGATAGGCATACCAAAATTTAAAAACGAGTGCCTTTATTAAAATAAAAAGGCGAACATTTGTTTAACTTGAGGCATGCTCATTTGTAAGGACTTGGCATAGGCCTATCACAAAAAAGGGCAAAACATAATTTTCAGGCAGCTTATCGATCACAAGTATTTCGACGACTTACCGATTATATGAAGCCCGACTAAGACCATCACATGCCACATTTTCCCGACTACACAGGGGAGCGTAGACGCCATATCGCTGCCTGGTCCTCGCTGGTAAAAACTAGAGTGACGTCCCTCGGCGTCAAGGTCCGATGATTTCCTTCAAAAAGTGTTTGAACTGAGATGGTACCGTACTATATTCGTTTTTTTACTGTGGACTTGTGAAACAACACAGCTAGCACTGAGTTCATCAGCTAAATTGAGTCAATCTCAGTAGTTCCTCCGCAGACTGTTGAATGTATAGCGCAGACATACAGTCATATGATCCCTCGTATAAACCACCGATCAGGATACATGTTATAAACCAAGCAGTCTCCGACTTATCCCGCAATCTACATGGGTTTGTTTCATAGCAGTGGCGTAGCCAGGAATTTTTCAGTGGGGGGCGCTGGGGGGGGGGGGGGGGCTGGAACATCTCATGGGGGGCGTCATGTAGGGGCGTCAATCGCTTCTCAAAAGTGGGGGTGGGGACATACCTTGATCAGAACTGATGCGAGCGCGAAGCGCGAAGCCCTTACGGCGTGGGGGTTCGGGGCCCGCTTAAGGGCCCCGAAAAAAATTGGATTCTAGATGTTCTGTGGTGTGATCTGAAGCAATTTCTTACCACTTTCTTTCATGCTTTAACTAATATTTTCTTAGCAAAAGATAATTATTTGAACATCGTTTTCGAGGTTTGAGTCATTGAATCAGCTATCGGTATTCTGAGCTATAGGCGTGGGGTTCGGGGCCCTCTTAAGGGCCCCGAAAAAATTGGATTCTCGATGCTCTGTGGTGTGATCTGAGGCAATTTCTTACCACTTTAACCAATAATTATCTTAGCACAAAAGATAATAATTTAAACATAATTTTCGAGGTTTTCTCAGCTAAAGGCATAAGAAAAATTGTTGAACATTGTTTTCGAGGTTGAAGTCATTGAATCAGCTACCAGTATTCTGAGCTATAGGCGTGGGGTTCGGGGCCCGCTTAAGGGCCCCGAAAAATATTGGATTCTAAATGCTCTGTGGTGCTATCTGAGGCAATTTCTGACCACTTTAACCAATATTTTCTAAGCAAAAAATACATTGTAGTACATGATAGGGCCCTGTAAATGAGACACGAGTTCAAAAATCTGGGGGGGGGGGGGGACATTTGATATCGTGTCCCCCACCCTTCAAAAAGTGTGGGGGGGGGGGGGACCAGTCCCCCTGTCCCCCCAGGATTGACGCCCATGGCGTCATGTAGATCAATGATAATTGTTTTAGAAACTCAAAATCTCAGTGGGGGCGGGGGGGGGGGCGACTGGGGGGGGGGGGCGACAAGGTTTCATGGGGGGCGGTCGCCCCCCCCCCACGCCCCCCGGTCCCCCTGTCCCCCTGTCCCCCCAGGATTGACGCCCATGGCGTCATGTAGATCAATGATAATTGTTTTAGAAACTCAAAATCTCAGTGGGGGCGGGGGGGGGCGACTGGGGGGGGGGCGACAAGGTTTCATGGGGGGGCGGTCGCCCCCCCCCCCACGCCCCCCGGTGGCTACGCCACTGTTTCATAGGCATACATTAATGGCGAGATATTGAATGAGAGTGCAGTAAGACAGAGCAAGGTATTTTCGTAAAGTATCTCGACAATAATTTTCCCAATTTAGTCCCTCCCGTCACAACCTAGACTCTATGTGCAACATGCAGCCACTGTTAGATGTGTACAGTCAACTGATGAAAGCCGGAGTGGGTCGCAATATCGAATGGCATTTTCATTCAAGTTAAGTAAATTTGTGACGGTAAATCGAACACGATAAATTGCCAGATGAATTGCGTATGCCTAGTGCGCAAGGCCTATAGTTGTCATGGAAATATATTAGTCGGGGAAATACAGTTCAGAGTTTGCAATGAGGCGTGGGCAGCTTTCAATTCAGCGTGACGCTAAACGGTCACGGAAGATTGTGTCTTAGATAATCCAAATTCCATTTTCGTTGACATAATTGGTTCTCATAATGGGCTAAATGAAAATAGGCAACGAAACCGCGACTCTTACTCGTGCCACTGCCGTTCGGAACGACGATAGCACGGCAGACTCTGTCGAGCAGTCAAATGTAATAATTGCTGGTGTTGTGCTTAATTCTGTGCTATCGCCGTGTCGAATTCAAAACGAAGCCGGGTTAATTGATATCAGGACGG